GTGTTAATATGTCCCAGCCACAGGTCTAACATCTCATAGACAATAGCTTTCATCCTCACAGCGGCCTTATGAGGAAGGTGCTAATGTTAGCCCCATTTTGCAGGTGACGAGAGTGTGACAAAGATAGATAAAGTCTCTTGCCAAGATCACACAGCCAGAAGTAGTGGAAGTTGGAATTAAACAATGGCAATCAGGCTTCAGACCTACAGCTCTTAACACTAAAGTGTATATCCTTTTAAGATAAAGAGTGCTCTAATAGATGCAAACTATAACCTGTGGGTTTTAAAACATGCACTTGTTCATTCTGCAGTTGTTCTGCATACCTACTATGTGCAGACCTTGCTCATGCAAGCACTCTACCACTGAGTTACATCCCAAGTTTCTGGCTGGAATTCTTTTTTATTTATTCTTTACTTCCTTAGTCTTCCTTCACTTCTCACCATTGTTATCTCTAGTTCTTGTGGTTCTTTTCTGTGTTCCTTCTAATTTAGTCTTCTTTTCTTAATGTTTTATGATATGGAGAATTGAACCTAGGGCCTTTGCACTGAGCTACTCTCCCCTCCTTTAAAAAAAGTAGTTTTTTTTTTTTTTTTTTTTTAATATTTTGAGACAAGGTTTTGCTAAGTTGCCCAGGCTGGGCTTCAACTTGGACTCCTGCCTCATCTGTCATTCATTTCTTAATTCTTTTTTTTAAAAAATTCATTTCTTAATTCTGATAATTCTCATTTCACATTCTCCATTTGTAGGAATCTACTGGGTGTTTTTATTTGTGATACATATCTTTTCAAAGTTGTATTTTCCTAGTTCAGTGTGAAGTACTAGGTTAAAACGTGTGTGTGTTTGGGGCATATTTTGGGTATGATTTTACTACCTGGCAGCCTTTGGTTCCTTGTTTTTCCACAATAATGTATGGTTTGTCTTGTGTTTTCTTTTTCCAATGTAAATAAAGAGGTTTCCTGATCTATGAAGAAGCCATTCTGTTGGGAGGAAGAAGGCCCTGTTTGGGGCTGGAATAGGACAGAGTATTTTTCTCTGCCTTACTATTTGAGGCTCCTCCCTCTGTTGATGGAATGAGAGGCTCAGAAACCAACTGACTCTTGGTGCTGAGATATGGCAGAACTCTTTTTCCTCCTTCTGGTCCTATATTTCATAGGGTTGAACGTGTCTTGTTTCCGTGTGTTCCTTTCACATTTACATTTATTATGTTGCGGAAATAGTTTCTGGAATAAACCTCCTTCTTACTATTCTTAATCTTCTCTCTCCTCCTAATTACTAATAGTCCTGCTCTGCAGTATTGCAGTGACCAGCAGAGACTGAGATTGGACCTAAACCTAAACTTAGTTTTTTTTTGAGGCCACAGGTCCCACCTCTCCAGGAACAACACAGTTCATGTGATAGGATCAGAAAGCTCCAGGGCTGGGAATCCATTGTGAGCCCAAGGAACCCTGACCAGAGACATCTTCTATAGCAGCTGGGCAGAGGCAGAAGAGTCACAGGACAGAGTGAGTCCTAGAGTGGCTGTTTATTTCCCAAGAGCAGCCGAATCATCCTGGGTGAGCTACTTGTTTATTCCTACTTCCATTATTAGTTTTGTTCTGGTGGGGAGAGGGATGGCAGTCCTTACCTAGTTAATCATGCCTTCGTTTACGGCCTCTTTGTACATGACTGTTTCATGTAGGGTCCATATCTACCATGATATATTCTTTTATTTGTACATATTCAGTTGCTTTCTCCTTCCTTACCCACCAAAAATTATTCTGTGTTTTACAAGTATTCTTTCATTAATGTGTGCTTACAAAATGTGTGTCGTTCTAGAAGTTGTAAAAATGTAATGCTCTCAGATTTCACCTCAGTCCTCAGTTTTAGACTTTTCATTTTAACAAGAGTTAATGTCAGATTTTCATCTTTATGACATTCTTTGGTTCGTGGATATGAGATTCTTTAGGTCATGGATATAAAGTCCATATTTAGATTTTACCTGGGGTGCTTCTTTTAGTGTAAACATTTTTTGTTATGAAAGTTTTGATATATAGGGCAGAATCAAAAGGATCTTATCAGTGAACAACCATTTGTCTACCACCTAGTATTTACTGTTAGCATTTTACTACCCTTGCTTTATCACAGTATCTATCCCTCTGTGCATACATTAGTCCATCCTATTTTGGGTATATTTCATAGGCTTAAGTTTTCATAACATATTTTAGACATCTGAACTTCCTTCTCTAAATACTTCAGTATGTGTAGCATTAACTAGTGTTCAGTATTTGTCGTTTTCTATTCTTTTTCTTTTTGGCTTGGCTTTTCCACTCTGTTAATGATTATTTTTTCTTTTTCTTTTTTATTTTAGTACTGGAAATTGAAATCAGGGCTTTGCACATGCTAGGCAAGCACTCTACCACTGAGTTACACCCTAGTCCCTTTCAATGCTTACTTTCTTGTTATTTTTGTTGTTGTTTTTGCTTTTTATTTTGGTGCCAGAAATTGAACTCACGACCTCACACGTGCCAGGCAGGCGCTGGGCCACTGAGCTATATCCCCGTCCCCACCATGCCCAGAATAATGCTTACTTTTTGTTTTTGTTATGCAGTACTGGGGATATTAAACCCAGGGACACTCTGCCACTGAACTACGTTCCTAGCCATTTTTATTTTAAAATAGAGGCTTGCTAAATTGCCCAGGCTGGCCTCAAACTAATGATCCTCTTGCCTCAGTAATGCTTACTTTTGATGAACAGATACTTCTTTTTTTCCTTTTCTTTTTTTATTTTTATTTTTGAGACAGGGTCTCATCATGCAGTTCAGGCTGGCCTTGAACTCACTATGTAGCCCAGGCTAGCCTTGAATTCACAGCAGTTCTCCTGCCCCAGCCTCCCAAGTGCTGGGATTACAGGTGTGCACCACCATGCCCAGCTTGATGAGTAGCTATTTCTAACTTTGTTACTCTGATTTATAACTTTTTTTCTTTTATTGCTAGTGATTTTGTGTCCAGTTGATTAACTTATTCTTATCCTAAACTCATATAAAAATGTGCCTTTGTTGTTTTATTCCTATTCAGATTTATCATGCATTTGGGATTGAGTTCATGTTTGTGAAGAGTACCAAGTACTCATATATATGGCTGGGGTGTGTAACTCTATTCTCTTCCACTTATCTGTTTTTCTAGCCATATGCCAGCACTACAATGTCTTTATTTATTTATGTATTTATTTTCTGGTACCAGGAATTGAAATCACGACCTCACGCTTGCCAGGCAGGCGCTGTACCGCTGAGCTAAATCCCCAGCTCCTATGTCTTTATGTATAGTAAGCCATGCTGTCTTGTTGCTTTTAATTTTTGGTGATTATAATTGCTATCAACATTTGTATGTGGGTTTTTGTGTGGACATGAATTTTCAGATCAATTGGGTAAATACCTGTGGTCATGATTACTGAATTGGGTACTAAAATTCTGTTTAGCAATTTTCTCAAAGTTGCTGTACCATATTGTATTTCTACTAGTAATGAATGAGAGTCCTTACTGCTCTCATTCTTGCTACTGTTTGGTATTTTTTACTTTGTCATTCAAGTAGATATGTAATAGTATTTCATTGTGGTTTAAATTGCATTTCCTTAGTAGCTACCATTTTTGCAATTCTTTTCCATGTGTTTTGGCTCTCTGTATATCTTTGATAAAGTGACTAGTTAGGTCATTTGCCTTTTTCTCTCTGGTACTGAGGACTGAATGCAGGACTGCATGCATGCTAGACAAGCACTCTGTTGCTGAGTGCTATTCCCAGCCCGCATTTGCCCATTTCCTAAAGGACTATTCCTTTGTCATTGAGTTTTAAAAATTCTTCACATATTATGTATTGTGTCTTTCATCAGAAAAGTGATTTGCGGATAGTTCTTCTAATGTTTGATTTGTTTTTCAGTCTCTTAGAACTGTCTTTCACAGAATAAAATATTTTAATTTTGACAAAGTCTACTTTCTCAAAAGCGCCTGCCTGGCAAGCGCAAGGTTGTGAGTTTGGTTCCCGGTACCAGAGAAAAACCAAAAAAAAAAAAAAAAACAAACAAACAAACAAAAAGCCTACTTTCTCAATTTTAATATTTAGAAATGGATTGTACTTTTGATATCATATCTAAAATCTCATTGCCCAAATGAAAGCACACAAGTTTTCTCTTATTTTTTTTAGAGCTTTTAGAGTTTTAGCTTTCAGACTTAAGTCTATGAATCATTTTGAATTAATTTTTCTCTAGGGTATGGGATATGGGTTGAGCTTTATTTTTGCTTCAGAGCCTTTCTTTTTCTCTATCAGATTGCCTTTGTGGAAAACCAGGAGAAATGTTTCTGTGCATCGGTCTATGGGTCTAATCTTTCACTATTACCACACTGTCTTGATCAAGTAGTAAAGTTTAAAACTGGTAGTGGGGGCTTTCCTCCTTTGGTTTTCCTTAGAATTGTTTAAAATTCCTTAGAAAGTTGGAATTTCTAAAATTTCTTTTAGAAACTTTAGGATAGCTTTTTTTAGAAACTGTTTTAGTTTCTGTGCCTTTCCATGTAAGGTAGAAAAGTTTGTAAAACGATTGCTGGGATTTGGGTTAAAATTGCACTGAATCTATAAATCAAATTGGGATGTATTTGCATCATATACGACTGAATTTTCTTACCTGTGAGCACAATATATCTCTTTATTTAGCTTTTCTTTATTATTTTGTTCCTTTGCTGAGTTTTTTATTGACACAGGCTTTTCATAGTCTTAAGGCCCAACAAGTTCTGAGGCTACAAATAACCAAAAGTGGATTGGCAGGGGCTCAAATCAAGGTTGATTAAAGGACATGGCGTGAGGGCAAATCTGAGTGTATGTTTGTATTGATCTTTATTATTTTTTATTTATTTTTAGGAGCCAGGATCTTTTTTTTTTTGGTTTTTTTTTTTTTTTTTTCCTCCGGTACCGGGAACCGAACTCACGACTTTGCACTTGCCAGGCAGGCGCTTTTGCCGCTGAGCTAAATCCCCAGCCCCAGGAGCCAGGATCTTTATTGCACTGCTCAGGCTGGCCTCATTCTCCTGCCTCAGGTTCCCATGTGGCTGTCTGTGGCAGTACAGTATTCTTTCTCCAGCTTTCTTGGTGGGAACAGGAAGTTTCTTATGATCCAGCTCCTCTAGAGCTAGCTGGGCATGGAGCTTGACCACATCCTCAGGCTCTAAATGCACTGTGGGCTTCAGCAAGTGATAGAGATCCTTGAGGACATCCCTTAGTACCTCAGTAGTGATAGTAACTGTGAACACTTGAACTTCATAGTAATCAGGCATGCTGTCATCCTGTCTCACTGGAATTCCATTTCTTTAATAGAATTAGCTCTTAAGGTTATCTATTTTTGTCATGGTGCTGGGATCAAATCTAGGGCTGTGCACATGCTTGGTACCACTGAGATATATCCCTAGCCCAAGGTTATAGATAAATTTTTGAGTGAATTTGGTAACATATCTTTTAATGAATAAGTCTGTTTCATAGAGCTATTAGTGTTTCCGTATTTGTTGGATCAGTAGTGATACTGTCTTTCATTTTTTACATTTGTAATGTATATCATCTTTCTTTTTCTCTTGGATATAATACTTCACTTCATTTGGGCACATAGGTAGGAGAACAGCTGCTGAACTATATAGCAAGATTATATTTAGGTATATAAGAAACTGTCAAACTGTCTTCCAAAGTGGCTGTACCAGCAGTCAGTGAAAATTCCTGTTACTCCACATCCTCTGCAGCATTTGTTGAAAAGATGATTGATTGGGTGCACATCAGTGAATGTTTCCAATATAATTTTTATTTCTCACAAAGTGGAGTGTAAAAAATTAATCCCCTATGCAACCTGTTGTTTTTCAGAACCTTGGTAAAAGAACTTGTGATTGGATTGGCATGTTCCATTCTTGAGACTACTGTCATTCATAGATGTGTTTGTGGATTTTACCTGGGAGGAGTGGCAGTTGCTGGATCCAATGCAAAAGTGCCTGTACAGGAGTGTGATGTTAGAGAACTACAGCAACCTGGTCTTCCTGGGAAGGTGCAACCTCCTTGAGGGGATGTGTACAGTCTTCAGGCTTCTCCTCCTCAGTTGCTGGAAAGTAGGGCTTCCATAAAATGCTGAATTATGTTGGCCTTATACTCAAGGATCAGGTATTCTCAGTACCGCACTGGCATCAGAGTATGCTGATTGAATGGTTTTTGCTTTGTCAAACTACTAAAGGGTGGTTTCATCACATCCCCTTACACCAGCCTGAATTCCAAGTAATTTTGGTCCAAGTTATATGTGATTTTCTCTGCTCAGGGTATCAACACACCCAACCTGATATCATCTTCAGTTTGGAACAAGGAGAGGAACTGTGGATGGTGCAGGCCCAGATTCCACATCAGGACCGGCCAGGTGAGTGACGTGAGGTTCAGATCTTTTCCCTCTGACTCAGAGCTGGTTTGGACACTGATGTGATGTACTCCTCTTGTACTTTTCTTCTCTCATTTATAACTGTGTTTTCTTAATCTCATTCCTTCGTGGCATCCTCAGTTTTCTTTCTTTCTGAGTAACAGATTCATTTTATTATTCATTTGAGCAAACATTTCTGCTTTCTCTTATTCAGTCATGATGTGACTTCATGTATGAAATCATGTGTCATATACCTTTTTTTTGTTGTTATTACTGGGTATCGAAGTCACGACCTCATGTTTGCCAGGCAGGCGCTGTGCCGCTGAGCTAAATCCCCAGCCCATCATATACTTATATATCTAAATATATTTAAGTTTGGTATGCTTAAATTCAGTAACTGCAGTTCCAACTTTCTTCCTTATCTTTGAAACCTCCTGGGAGAGCCTGCTGTTTCCATGCCTGCTCTGCTGCTTAGTATCATTCTGATCACATTGCTGCACTGTATGACACTTTCACTGCTTCCCTTGTTCCAGTGACCTGTGTGGAGCCTGCCTTTGTGATACTCCACCGAGTCCTCTTGCTCTTCTCTCTGAGTTCAAAGTAAGAATTTTTTGTTTGTTTTAATATTCTCAGTTTCCTTTTAATATTGCTTTTTTTGTCTATGGTGCTGGATGTAGAATCCAGTGCCTTGTGCACACTTGGCAAGTATTTTGCCACATCTCCAGGATGAGTACTGTAGCTTTTAAAAGACTTCTGTCTTAGTGCATTTGTGCTGCTTTAACAAAGTACCACATCACAGACTGAGTAATTTCTCAAAGAGAACTTTATTTCTTACAGTTCTGAAATCTGGCAAGTCCAGTTAGGCTCCATGTCTGATGAGGGCCTGGTGTTTGCTTCTACGATTGTGCCTTATTGGTGCACCCTCCAGAGGGGAAGAACAGTGTGGGACAGAAAGAGTTGCCAAAAGATTCCAAGCTCGCTTCCTCCAGTTCTTTCATAAGGCACTACTGTAATTCATTCAGGAGAACAGAGGTCTCATAGCTTAATTCCTCCCCAAACGCACCACCTCTTAATATCACAGCAGTAAGGGTTAGATTTCACCATTAATTTTTTTAAGTTTAAAAACTTTATTACAATGAACGACATTGCCATTAAGCCGACACTCCCACTCACTTTGAATACACCCACCCCATAGTTATTGCACTTTCTGAAGCAGTTCTAGAAGTCCTCCTCCATGAGTGTCTTTACAGAGTGTGATAAAAAATATAGGGAATGTTGCTGCTGAGTACCAGAAAGGCAGGCTCTTAAAACCATTATGGTGTTCCCCATTCAACCTCATTACCCCTAGGCCTAGTATCACATGACTGTTGGCTCTTCTCCAAAGTCAAAACGACCATTAAGGACCATGAATTGATTCAGTATGTCAAGGCAACCATGAGAGCACAACTAAAGTTACTCCTGAAAGAGGACTTCCTGAACTGCTTCAAAAAGTGACAAGAACAATGGGATAAGTGTGTTGAAGCAAGGAGGAGCATTGTGAAGGGGACTGGTGTCACTGTGTCCCTCACTGTAATAAATGTTTTTAAATTTATTCACCATATTTTTTATTACCCTGCATACCTTATCTAAAATGTTTGAGACCTAAACTATTTCAGATTTGGGATTTTTATAGATTTTGGAATACTCGAATATACATAAAATGAGATACCTTGGGTAAGAGACTCAAGTCTGAACATGAATTTTGTTTGTTTCATATGCACCTCTTTAATAGCCTGAAGGTAATTTTTAAAATATTTTTAGTGCATCTACATTTTGACTGAAAACATCACAGGAATCAGCTGTGGAATTTTTGCATTTACAGCATCTTTTTGCTGCTCTTAAAGTTTGTGGACATTTGGGATTTGGGATTTTCATATTAAGGATACTCAACCTATATATAATTTATTGACGTACTTACAATCTTGTGCAGACATCACCACTACTTCCAAAACCTTTACACCATTCCAAACAAAAGTCTACATCCATTAAGAATTACTTCCCAATTTCCTTCTCCTCCGTAACTCTAACCTGTATCTGTCTTTGTCCCTATGAATTTGCTTATTTCAGGTACTTCATGTAAGTGGAACCAAACGATATTTGTCTTTGTTTGGCTCAGCTCACTTTGCATGTTTTCAAGGTTCAAAACTTCACTTTTTATGATTGAATAATAGTCCATTGGCTATATATGCTACATTTTGTTTAGTTATTTATCTGTTAATGGACATTAGGGTTATTTATACCTTTTGGCTATTGTGAATAATGCCTATTAATGCCTATGTATCTGTTCAAGTCTCTATTTTCAATTATTTTGGATAGAATATGGGAATTTTATATTTAACTCTTAAAGGAATTGCCTATTTTCTATACCATTTTACATTCTCATCAGCAATATATAAGGGTTCTAATTTTTTTATCTTCTTAACAGTTGTTACTATTTATTTATTTATTTATTTATTTTTAAAATTAAGCCTAGCACGCAGGAGGTTGAGGCAGGAGGATTGCTATGAGTTCAAGACCAGCCTGGGCTACAAAGTGAGGCCATCCTAAACTGCACGGTGAGACCTTGTCTCAAAAGAAAAAAAAAGTTAAGTTTATTGGTACAATTTAGATATACATAACAATCATATTCATCATAGGGAATTTGTACCTGTACATGATATATCCAGCTTCTGTTTTCCTGTCCCCTTCCCCTCCCTTTAGCCCCTTTTCCTCTCCTTATTTACAAAGGTTTGTTTCCATTTTATTCTTCCTTTCTCTTTTTCTCTTCCCTCCCTCCTTTCCCCCTTCTTCCTCCCTAGTTCCCCTTTCCTTTTGAATAATTTCTTCCTATTTCATAGTATCTGTTGTACATTTTAGTTCTTATTTACACTCTCAGTTTCTCACATGAGACTATGTGATATTTACACGTGTGTGTCTGATTTATTTCACTTAGGAATATGGTTTCAAGATCCATCCCTCTACCTAGAAATGTCTCAGGTTTATCCTTCTTTATAACTGAGTAGTACTCCATTGTATAGAAAAACCCTCATCCTTGTTATCTACTCATCAGTTGATGGCCATTTGGGTTTCCAAGATTTAGCTATTACAAACTGTGCTGCTATATGAACATGGGTGCACATATATTGCTGTGGTATGATGCTTTTAATTCTTTCAGGCACATACAAAGAAGGGGAATAGCTGGATCAAATGGAACCTCTAGTCCTAGTTACTTGAGGATTCTCCACACTGATTCCCACAGTGGTTGCTCCAGTCTATATTCACACCGAAGTGGAGAAGTGTTCCTTTTCCCCTACAACCCTGCTAGCATTTATTATTGGTTGATTTCTTGATGATAGTCATTCATTCTAGAGTGAGATGGAATCTCAGCATTTTAATTTGCATCCCCAGTGATGTTGGACATTTTTAAATATATAGATTTACTGTGTACTTCATCTGAGAAGTATGTATTCATCTCAGATGCCCATTTTTGTACTGGGTCTTTAAATTTGGGGGTCCTGATTTTTTCGATGCTTTATATGTTCTAGATATTAGTCCTTTGTCTGAGGATCAACATTACTTTTTTTTTTTTTTTGGTTTTTCTCCGGTACCGGGAACCGAACTCACGACCTTGCGCTTGCCAGGCAGGCGCTTTTGCCACTGAGCTAAATCCCCAGCCCCAACATTACTTTTAAAAGGGACATGTATTAATCACTTTCCTGTATTTGGGACAAAATAAATGACATCTACAACTTACAGAAGTTTATTTTGCATTACAGTTTTAGAGGATTCAGCCCATACTTGGTGGCTCTGAGGTAGAAAGAGCATGGCAGAAGGGCATGGCTGAGGATTGTTCTCAACCTATGGCAGCTGGGAAGCACAGACAGAAGGCAGACGCCGGGGATGAGAATATGCCCTTCCAAGCCACACCTCCTAGCTCTTCCAACCAAGCCTCACCTCCAAACACAAGACTTTTGAAGGAAATTTTGGATCTGAACCATAGTAGAACACTTAGGGGACACATTAAACCATGGGACCTTCCACTCTGAAGCTTTAAGCTTTTTTTCTTTACTGGTAATTGACAGCCTTACCCATCTTTCTTCTGCTCTTTGGTCCTGGGTTTGATTGATCCACTGGCTGTTTCCCTGGTCCCTGCCACTCCCTTGCCTCATTTTTAGAAGCTAGAATCATTTCTCTCCCTGCTCCATCTTTCTCAGTGTGTTCTGTTTCTGATGCTTCCTGCCACCAGGAACCAGAGTGAATCTCCTTTATACACAATTTACTCTTAGCAGTCTTGCTCTTAGCATTTTAATCCTTTACAAATAAGTCTTTTAAAGCCTCTATCTTTTCAATTTTTACTTCAAAAGATGACAGTATGTACTTATTTGCCATAGTTACTATTTTTATACTAATTCACCTTGGATGACACTATCAGATACATCTCCTAAATGCGGTTTTCAGTAAGTCCCCAACTTATGAATGAGTTCTCTTCTGGAAGGATTGTTCATAAGTTGGATTCATTAGCAAGCCAACAAAGGGTGTCTTATGCAGTACACCTGCAAAGGTTTGAAACTTGAATGTTTGCCAGTTAGGGACTTAATGTATTCAGTGATAGGATACAGGGACAGTTAGCCTCTGTAGAATTAGTATTGTTTCACCTGCAATTTTTGATCAGTCCTACACCAACCAGTTTAAGAAGTGGTTTATAGCTATCCACTGTCAGAGGTCCTAAGGAAGGCCAACTCAGTGAGTCAGTAAATCACTGAAGAGTGATTTTTCTGCCCTGCTCTTCTATTAGTGTTTTCCTTGGATTGCCTCTAGCTTAGTCCATTTTCTGCTGCTAAGTTAGTCTATTTTGTGCTGCTGTAAGAATACCCAAGGCCAGGTGATTTATAAATGAAATCTTTATGTTTACATGCTGTTTGGAGGCTGGAAGTTGAAGACCAGGCAGCCACATGTGTCCAGGGTTTCTTGCTGCATCTAACATG